TATTCTGACGATTAATCGGATAAAAATAGAGATTACATTCTGCAAATTTTTTATACAACTACGTAAGCTTTTATGCAAGATTAGAAATGTGTTAAAAATAACAATAAGCAAATCATTTATTTACTTTTTTAAATGAGAATAAACAGCAATAACAGCATTTCCTTGGTGTAATCATTTGCAGCATCTTCTAACATCTGCATTTGAAAATTTCAGTCCTTTCTGCTCAACTTATCAAAATAGTGTAGGGTGGACATGCCGATTACTTTATAATAATCACCAGTTAAGTGGATAGCAAAATGTAGCAATTATTTCAATAATGAATTCATCATGATTAATCAAATTAATTGTTTCAGCCTTAAGGAGAAAGTTTGATTATTAGCTTATTGGTATGAACTTATTTTATTTGCTATAATAATAATAATAATAATATACTGACTCTACTTTAATAATCTCTTCCTCTGGTTCCCACCTCTCTGTAATCCTAGTTTTAAAGTTTCGATGAACATCTGTAAAGAGGAGAACGATGACAGTGACCAGAATTTAATTTCCTTTCACCGGTCTACCATGAGTCAGCACGATGTTACAAAAACTCTCACGTTCCCACTGAGATTACACCTCTCGGTGTATGCTTAAAAACGAACAGAAGATCATGGATATGGTGGGAATGCCGAATTATCTTATCTTCAGTCTGCGTAAAATTAAGCGGCCTGAAACGTGATGTGGAGCAGCAAACGTATTTTGTCCCCACTTTTATCTTCATGTCTACGTGGCTTGAGCCAACTTCCCCCCCACCCATCCCTCATGGTGCCCATATACCTCCGTTATCAGAGCAGGAGGCAGGTTGAAGGGGGCAATAAAAGCTTCGTTACCAGTGGATCTGGACTGTATGGGTGGATAATCACACAGATGTCAGCAAATAGCCCGACGTATGAGTGTTCATGGTCAAGGTCAGCGAAAGAGGAAGTTGATATGGTTCCTGATCAAGAGAATATTAGGACAAACATCTACAGACTGATATATTCTGAATCAGAATGAGGCTCTAAAACACATAAGCAGCATTAATTATTCTGCACTTTTAATTGTATTTCTTATTTAACCCTTCAAGGTCTAAGTTTCAAATCTCTGCCTGGATATTTTTGGTTTTTTTTTTTTAAATTGTACAAAGTTCTTTAAATGTGCTGTGAGTAAATATTTTCCATTAAGCCCGATAAGGTTTAATGGAAACACTGTGATTGGGAAATTGAGTTTTTCGACGATAGTAGAATATCTACAAAGTTTCGCCCACATTTATAATTGAGACGCAGCTATTCCCGTTTCTTTAGGCCCGTTTCGCTTCCAAGTGACATTTTAAGCCATTTTAGAATCATTAGCTGTGAAAAACAGGAGACTTTAGATAAAAATCAGGTGATTTCTGTCAGCAAACTAAAGTTAGGTCATCACAGGATCTTCATTAATGTTTATTTAAGTTCAATAAATGTTAATAAACTTAAACATACGTCTCATCAGACAGTAAAGCAGTCTTTTCAGTCCCAGTGACTGAACTGGAAGAAATGGTAACAACAACTGAGCTACGCCGAGTCTTACTGGGAAATATGCCAAAGCCTTTAAGGTGAGCTTTCCTCTCTACTGATTAAATATACCAACGGTTGGATTTTCCCAAAATTTTCATTATGAATGATCCTACTACATGATTAATTTATTCTAATGCTTTTTACCCTCTACCCCAGTGTACCAATAAATGCTAAAACTGTATTAAAACTAGAAAATGTGCATTTCAAATGAATGCTTTAGCTTTATTAATGCTACTTTTTCATCAATTCTGTGAATGAGCTTTAGTTTTAGCACATTTTCCTATGGTGAGTTAAACCCAATACATTTTTGATCCTTGGGAAAAAGTGTCATACTCCAAAGACACTAATTACAACTGTGTGCACAATATGAAGGATTTAATCCTGAGCTTGTCTGGGTTATTAATTAGCTAAGCTGGAGTAGAAAAAAGGTGAAGAAAGTCAAACTATTTTGTAATTGGAGACATTTCTTTCTTTTGGTATGTAACAAATCAGAATTTGTTGCTGCAAACTTATCAAGCTTTGTGTTCAACAGCCACCATGTGATGACCAGGCAGTCAGACTCCATAAATCAAACTTCATATATTTCTAAACATCAGCTTTAAGAAAACCAAACACCAGCAAAGAGAAAGAAGAAGAGATGGTGCATTTACAGGCAAACGGATTTTAGCGTATTTAACACCCACTTCTGCCCTCGTTCGGCCTCTGTACTCCCACCTAGCTTTCCCATCTGCCATTCACAGAGGGCTTATGATGCTGCAATCTGGGAGGCTGAGATTATACGGAAAGAGAGAGGACAGGGGGGACAGCGATGGGAGGGTGGGGCTGATGGGAGGGGAGGAAGAGGAGGAGGAAGGCAGATTTGAAAAAGTGAAGAGCCCTTGATGTGGATTCATCCAGAATATTACTCAATACTCATGAACAGATGCAGCCTATAGAGCTTACAGATGATAACACAGCAGAGGACGGACGGCCTCTATGAAGGCTGGCTGACACTGAAACTAGCAGGGAGATGATGTTGGATTTCAGACACACATGCATTAAAATGTCTTGTCCTGCTTTTCAGCGTCGCCTGCTGAAGAGGACAATGAAAAGACGGACAGCGAGGACACGTAAACAACAGAAATGGCTGCAAAGACGGGAGAAAAACACGCAACAAATATGAGATTCTGTCTGAATGAATTACTAAAATGGTGAGAAGCCAGTCAGAAATGTGTGCTCCCACTAATAAGCATAACTATCATCTCATGTTTATGATGTAAATACAGGCTGAGAATAAATCAATTCCACTAAAAAGCATAGCAATAAATTAACAATATACAAGTTATATGTTATTTTAGAGCATTAAAAATGCAGACAAACTTCAAAAGTAAGCCTGTATTAATTTATTGGGACTAAAATACGTTAATTTCAATTAATTAACGCACATTTTTTTTAATACTTGAATTTTCTTCTTTCTATGCAGAAGTTCCGATCTGGAAATTTTGTGTTGCGTTTCTGGTAAATCTGATGAACACGTCGTATCTGCAAACAAAGAAATGGACAACAAGGCCGTTTCTTTTGGCCCGCTAGGGGTTAATTTTTGCTTCGACCAACGATCTGGTGGGATGCTGGAAAAGACTGTTACTGTATTCAAGTTGTGCCAAAAGGAGCGAAGCTATTCAAGACTAAAATAGCATCTTAATGCAGAACATGTTGCAGCAGCACAGATGTTTCCAACATTGATGTCAAGAGCCCATATTTCTGAGGAAGCATTTTTTCAAATAAGTTACATGATCTCGGATTCCAGGTATATCTGAAAGAACTTTTCCCCAATCTGATTGTTGAATAAACTAAATAATAGAATAAAAAAAGATATGCTAGATGCTGAGCTTTTGTGGATATTTTATCAATTATTTTTGCAGCAAAATACAACTTTGCAGTTTCTGGTGTGGTTTCTTACATAATTATAATGTAAGAAATGCCAATGAAAACAAGGAAAAGTAAACAGACTCTTCAAAATGTAAATGTCACATTTAAACTTGGTGGCAAAAGCAAACAAAATTACAGTATGTAATTAGATATTTTTTGTGTTACAAGCACTTGGACTTGTTTTTAGAAGTAGTGGAAACCCAAATGGAAATACAAACATTTTCAAAATATGAATGTCCACTTTAAAAAAAAATTGTAATGTGGTAAAATCCTGCTTGACCCGAAAATCAGACAAAAATTCAAAATCGGTGCATCTCTGCAGCTTTTAAAACGCGATTTGTAGATAAAACTTTCCCTCTACAGCTGAACAACAGAAAAGCCCATTTGTTCTTCATGTTAATTTCTTTTTGTTTTCACATGGATAAAAAATGTAGAGTGTGCTGTGATGTTCATGCTCTGATTTCCAAAAGGATTATAAGGAAAACCAAATCGAAGACGAGATGCTCTTGTCGTAGAATCTATCCTTAAATGACACGGCAGAAGCAAAGCCATGGGGCGGCACAGCGGTCTAACTGCCTCTGCTATCATCTCCACCACCACAGTGAATCACATTGCTCCCTCCCCCCCCAACCCTCACTGTGCTTCCTTGATCAGCAGCCACATTAATCCTCTTGTTGACTCTGCACCTGAACCAGCGTGGGTCTAACTTCTCAGCGATCAGCACCGTCTACACGCCTGGAGCGCTCCCCGTCCGTCCCGGAGTAGAAACCTGCTGACTCAGCTGATCGTATCGATGGCTGATTAGAGCGACCTGTAAAAAAGGGAGGAGCTAAAGCTGCTCTCATTACAGATTTAATGAGTCCTTTGGTTTGTTGCCCGAGTGGACAGAGAACCCTCTAGAGAAATTCGAGCCTGGCTTCATAAATCACCTTTTCTCCTTTGGTCCCATCGCCGCCCAGACAGAGAAGCACAAACACACACACACACACACACACCCACATATCAGGGAAGGTCATGACAACTTCAACCTGATGATCTTTGATCTTTTCTGATCCAGCCGGCAAAGAAAACACACAAAGGTCAACTTTCCCCTCAAACCGTGACCAAAAAAAAAAAAAAAAAAATGTAATAAGGGCCAACCATCACTGAGGTCTCAGGTGGATAACAGAGGAGAATCTGTGGGGCAAGGAGAACGGGACAGCACGGAGGAAAAACTGCATCACTTCGCACAAGAGCAAAGATATTTTTAGCCGCTGGATACAAGGTGGTGACTGTATGCGAGGATGTTGCATATTTTACATTCTGTCATGAGACAACGTGTTTTTTTAGCAAGATAAACTGCACCATAAGCAAATGAAAACCTCCTTACTTCATTGTATATGTTATGACAGATTTTTGCATATTTGCAGCAGTTTATTTGCATATCCAAGCATAGTTATGGTCTTTTCTCACAGAGTGACAAAGTGATGAATTGTTGGACAAGAACCAATGAGAAAAGTGAGAATGTAATCAGGATCTTACCTGTAATGTACATGTGTGACTGTAGGAGGCCTGTAGCCAAAGATCCACGTCTGGATGTCCATCGGTCTCGCTTTGGGGTACGCTATGGTCACATCTATTACCCACTGCAGGCCTTTACTTTTATTAACTGTCATGAAAGAAGGGAAAAATATGGGATTTGTGAAGATAAATAGCAAAAGCTTATTCAAAATTCACATACTGTTCAAACAGTGAACTGAATTTTAGTTCCAGATTTACGCTTCTCAGTCTGTTTTTATATGGTCACGTTTAAAATCTAAACACAAAATTTCACTATAAATTTTGGAGAGACAATTCAGTGGTCATCAGGATTTATATATGGAGCCTGTACAAATCCCTGACTGACAAGACAAGGGAAAAAGGGACGTACACACAACGTAACAATTAGGGCTGTAGTGATACAATAATCTCACGATACGATATATATATATTGCAATATTCAGCAAACGATACAATTCAATACAGTTTGTGATTTTCTGAAAGATTTTAGAGGGACAGAGTGATTTTGATGACATTTTGTGACTGTTATAGAGTTGGATTGAATTAATTTAACTGAAAACTGATTAAAAGCACCAACTACACAATACCTGGCTCTGGTTGGACATGGACACAGACTTAAAGTCGACAGCTGGAGAAAATTAATCAAAGAAGTGGTGAGAAAACATGTTCCTTTTAATTGAAACAGTACAAACTGTAGCTTAAATGCATTTGTAAAGTAAATAAAGTGCACCAAGTACCCTGCTCTGAATAGTTTGATACCTTTTTAACCTCGACACTTAACATCTGAAGGAATCACTCTAAGCCTGATGACCTAATTGCTCTCCTGGTAAAGCAAGCAGTGAGTGAGCAAGGTGACAGTTGGATGTTACGATATTTGCGGATGAATATCAATTTTTTTTCTAGGAAAGAAAATATCAATATATATTGCAAAATCAATATTATTACACAGCCCTAGTAACAATGGAGGAAGAAGAATTGGTTGACCTGAGGAAGAACTGGCACAAGTATGGGTGGACGGGCCAATTGGTAGAGGTACATTAGGTCTAAAGATGGATGGAGATGATTGTACATCTAGGGACAAACTGGTAAATATTGGATTTACCAATATCTGTCCAAAGAGCCACTAATTCATCTACTACTTCATCTACTAATGGATGAACAAAGAAATACTTGCTTAAAATGGAAAGCTAACTGATGAACTAGAAGCATAGTTGGATTGACAAATGACAGAAAGATGAACAAATGAATAAAAACAAGTAGGATAGCAAATAAAATCCGGAAAATACAAATACAGCTGACACCAGACATTTATACATACACCAGGGAAATTTCCCTACAACTTTTCTTACCGTCTAAATTTAAATCAGACCAAACTTATCTTATTTTAGGTTAGTTGAATTACCTAAATTCTTCATCTTCAAAGTCAGAGGTTTACATACAGAAAGATTACTCTCTCCACAAACAATGAGGGTGATGTCACTTTAACTGACTCATTTGACTTCATTCACCTGTACATGTATCTTAAGGCCACACTTGGCACAGACTGCTTTCTTGTTTGACAAAATAAAGTCATAAGAAATCAGTCACGTTAACTGGAAGAGAAACGCTCCTTGGGAACAATTTCCATGTGCTTGGAGATGCCGCATTCAACTGTTCAAACAAGTTAAAACAAGTTTAGACATGCACAACCATCATACCACTCAGGAAGGATGTGGCTTCTGTGTCCCAGAAATGAAAGTGTTTTGGTCCAAAATGTGCAAACCAACTCCAGAAAAAAAGCCAAAGAAGATGACAGGACAAAGTCATGATCGACAGTCAAACTGTCCTTCAAGGACCTTCATTTTTGGAGACATGTCCTATTGTCCGATGGCCATAATGACCATAGTTACATTTGAAGGAAAAAGTGAGACGGTTGCCAGGAACACCATCCCAACTGTTAAGTTTGACGGAGTCAGCATCATGTTGTGGGGTTGTTTTCTGCAGGAGGAACTGATGCATTTCATAAAATAGATGTCATCATGAGGGAAGAACATCATGTAAAACTAATGAAGCCCCATCTAAAGACCAGGCAGGAAGCTAAAGCTTTGGTGAAAATGAATCTTACAAATGGACAGTAGCCCTAAGCATCCAGCTAAAGTGGATATAAAGTAGGTTAAAATGAACAAATGTTAATGTTTTTGTGTGGCTGTCGCAAATCTCTGATCTCAATCCTATGGAGAAGTTGTAGGAAAATCTGTGAAGGATATGAGGGAGTGAAGTGACCTGCAAACCCGGCTGAGTTACACCAGTTCTGGACAAAAACTCCAGCAAACTATTGTGAAACACTCGTGGAAAATATCCAAAACATTTGAGCCAAGTCATACAGTTCAAAGGCAACGCTACCAAATGCCGAGAATACATCTGGCTTTGAGGACATGAATAAATAAATCTGACATATTTCATTCACTATTTAGACATTAAGCAAATAGAAATAAATTTAGTAGTTCAAACTGACCTAAAACGAGAGAAGCTTAATCTGATTTAACTTCAGACAGTGAGAAAGATCGTAAACTTCTGTAATTTTACACACACATTTTTCCTTATTTCACAGTCATTCAGACCTGAATAATACTTTAAATGAAATTTCAGACGTGTCGTTAAACTGTGTCATTAAAATAAAAATAAAAAATGCAATGAGGCTGAAAGGTTAGTGACGGCTGGTGGGGGTAGGGAGAGCGTGTTGTGTTTAAATGTGGGAATTGCTGCAGGGATACTTGGCTGGGTCAGTTCTGTAGCAACACATTTAGGTAAATTAGTTGTTGTACAACAAGATCGGCTCATCTCAGCTTTATTATACATCTCGCTTATAGCAAAACTACTCAGTTAATTTGTTATGAAATATCTTGAAATCCTGATTGAACACAAAGTTCAGAAGAGCAGCAAGATGAGTCACTTCTGGAGAATAATGATGGGGAAATCTTCAACCAAGACGAAGACCTCATTCCAGTCTCAACATGTTAAAGAATAGCCTATTTTATGGACACATAGAGGGACTTTGACACAATCTTAAAGAAAAAGAAGCTAAATAACTTTCTGAAGTTTCTGTTCATGTCGGTGATAAATGTGGAATATGTTAGCAGTGCTCAGTAACTTTCCTTCCATAATGCAATAGATTATGTCACATTAGGTGGTTTGCCCTGCCTCACTGTTCTTTAGAGTATGTATTAGTGAGTCTGAGTGGAGGTAATTAAGTGCGCTGGTGTTTTGTTGCATAAAACCGGAGCTTGTTGGGACACCTTTGGTACCGACAGAGGCAGATTTTGTGGGCGGGACATTTTTGTTCGGGTTAAGAGACATAATCGCTGCATCTGTAATCAGGTTGGTCAGAGGGAAAGAGAGAAATCTGTAGAAGGTTATTTTTTTGTGTCAAAAAATGTTCAAGCTGAAAATATTTTTAACAATAAAACACTTTGGAAAAGTGGGTTTTGTCCACTATGTTCTTTTTTTTTTTTTTTTCATCATATTCCATCTGACACCAGGTGTTTTTTGGTTCAAATGATTTTACAAAGGAGCTTACTTTTGCAATTTTTGTTTATTCAGATAAATTTCCAGCAGCAAAAGAGCGCATGTTAGGAGAGAATGTTACCGTGCAACAATATCTGACATGATGAGGTTTTATTTTGTCAAACTGATTCGCACAAAATCAGGGACTGGAGCAAAGTCAATACTTCCTAAGAGACAAATTTTCATCAACTTGCAATAAACAACTGAATTTGACTGTAATGCATTATATTTGGGATTGAACTCGTCGTTTGAAATTGGATCCAAATCTGGCCGTATGATGGGTTTATACTGAAATCAACTATCGACTGAAACCAAATCAAGACAGAATTGGATTTACTCTTACCTCTAATTTGGCCACTTTATAAGACATAAATTACAATTTACAATGTACAAATTCCGTATGAATTTAAGGCAGAAATTTTGACTGCAATAAGGTTTCATATATGGAACCTGTAGAAATGGACAGATGGACATGAGTTAGACAGCTATACCGCTTTGTAACAAAGGTGACAAAAAGGCTATTCGCACCCTGCAGGCAAAAGTGTCCCAAATTCAACTTTTTTTTTTTTTGCTGAAATGTGACCTATATCAGATTTATGATGGACTGAACAGCACAAATCAGATTTATTTATTTTTTTTCAGATCACTCATGATGCATTACGTCTGACTTTTATATCCATGTGTGCAACAAACTCAAAATTTTCCTTGGTAATAAAAGTCTTGCTCCAAACAATAAACACATAAACCCTCATACACACAGGATGGGCATGCAGAAGGTTTCAGGGCTCTAGATCGTTCAGTCTTGAGATCGTTTTAAATATTATGAAGTGACTGATCACGTAAAAGAAGACAAAAATGTATATATACTTTGTTTAAAGGTCCAACACCTAAACGAATCCCAACCTCCAAACTGCCTGTAGGCTTGAACTAAACGCTATTTTCCTCTCAAGCTGACAAGTCTGCATTTGCTTGTCAAATGCAAAAACAGCCAACAGCAGCAGCAGCAGCCTTCGTCAGCACAGACGCGTCTGAAACGAGCCTGATGTGAAGCGGCCGCGCTTATTTGACTGCCCTGGTTGGAGTCAAAGAGCCGGCTGCCGTTAATGTGTAGCAAGCACTTCCCAATCAAAGCACACTGGCTTCTTTGTGCAAGGGAAATGTGTGACAAAAGAGGAGCTCAATTTCACAACCGACTGGATGTGTTACATCAGACTCCGTAAGAAGATGTAGAAGGAGAAATATTGCCAAAAAGTAACAATTTCAACACTTTGAGCAGAGTACAACCTGAGCAGGAGAGGTTGAAAACCACGACAACAAAGAGCCGCATGTTCATGCCACGCCAAACGGACCAGGAAAGACACCTTATTGTTTATAACCGTCCAACCGTCTAGGTCATTGTTCTGAATACTATAAACAGAGCTGGAGCTTTCTGTAGTCAAAACACATTTACTGACCGCTCAACATCTTTGATTTTATTCGTTTAAAATCTAAAGGGTCCCCCATACAAAACATTTAACCTGCAAATCCGTTTTACTTGAGCAGAGTTGGGTAGTAACTACATTTACTTGAGTAACTCTTTGTAAAGAATGTACTTCTAGGAACGTTTTTTACTGTGCAGTACTTTTACTTGAGTGATTTTATTCTGTGAGTAACTTCGCTGAATGAAAAACAAAAATTCACCAGACACAATCGCACACCTGCAGCTTTTGTTAAAGTTTCATAAGTTTTACACTGAAAGAGATTGATTTGGAAAAATATTTATTCAGACTGATTTTGTTTTTGTTTTTTTTAAACTAATGTATTGATATAATTTATTTTCAGTCATTTTTAATTTTTTAAAATACCAAAATCTCCACATCATTTTACATTTTGGTCCACCTGATGATGTCATTTTCACATATAAAATAATTGCTGATTTGATCCATTACTCAGTCCGTGAGTAGTCTTTTTGCCAAATGCTTTTTAACTCTTACTTTCTTTTGCTCAAGTAAAAATATGTCACTCTACCCACTGCTGAAGTTGAGATGTTTTGCAAAAGACAAAAAGTGGAGAATGTGGAAAGTTCATGGGTATGAATGCTTCGTAAAGTCTGTGTAACTTCATTCTGACATGAGGGAAGATGATAGCGTTGTGACAGTTTGTTTACATGCTTGTGAACGCAGCCCTCTTGTTAATTAGTGTCCATGGATTCAGCCTAACCAAGTTTCACAGTTTGACTGCTGCCTCTAATTAGGACCTCGAAGGCTTACTTTCCCTTTAACCTTCGTTTTCAGATGCGTTCTCTGGAGCGAAGCCCGACCTTCGACAAACGCACACCTATGTTTATTTAACTTGCGATCCCGCAGAGAGGAGGCAGGGGAGTAACAAGCACTCTGATTGGCTGTGCAGATAAGAGACTTGAACGGCATTGCGGGTATTGAAACACCAGCAGATCTCCTTCCAAAAGCAGAAGAACGGAGCCCTGAGCCAAGGTTTCCTGGTGGCTTCCAAGAAATGACAAACAACACTGTGAAAGCAACGGCCACGCTCTTTGAAATGACATCGAACTGGGCCTGCCCTCCTGTAAATAGAGGAAGGAACCCCGGTGACAGATATGTGGCTCTATCAGGCCATTCGGCCGACCAATTACAACACTTTAAGCTCAACTTAACTGGACACAGAGTTTATGCCAGACTCTCACGGAGCTCCACTCCCACACTTGAAAGGTTCCCATCTTCAACCTTTGCTCATCTGCGACTGCAAACATAGTTTTATAATCACACGTCGACCTTATTGGCAGGGCCTCTCTGCAGAACGTGACCCCTGTGCATTATATCCGTACTGAGCAGAGCATTTAGCTTGGATGACATTGCGTGGCTGAAGCGGAGCGGCACGCACATTTACATCAAATCCTATTTTCTCCAAGTGGCCCCATTTGTCTCTGAGTGAGTCAGCAAGCTCAGGGCACCTCTGCAGAGCATCAGGGAGGGTCAGAGTGAGGCAGAGCAGCGACTGTGATCAGACGCACTCTCACACGTTGAGGACAGAGCAGCGAGGGGCACAGCGCGCTTCTGGGAATGAGTGTTTTCTTGCCCTCGGTTCTAACATGTATAGTGAGCTAAATCCAAGCGGAAGGACAAGCCCCCATGCAGCCGCTTCTTCTTCTTCTTCTTCTGAGCTGCTGTACCAGAGACGGACACATGAAGGAAGAACTGGGAAGCAAAATACTGAAAGCAGCATGATGTGTAATAGGGTTCGACTATTTATTCACAGTATATTGACCAATTAGTTGAGTAAATTGGAATTACAAAAATAAATTTACTTAAAAAAAACACGCCCATTTAAATCAACAACCTGATGTTACTACTGGTGAAAAAAATTAAAGAGACGACATGAAGTGGTAGGAGGCTGATGCCGCGGTGTGTTTTTTTAATGAATTATTGTATAAACAGACTTATTCAAATGTGATTTTAGGTGAGTTTCTTATTTAATGGAAACACCGCAATTGCAAAATTGTGTATCTTCAACATAAACGGAACATTGAGAACGTTTTACGCAGATTTGTAGTGGAAACGCAGCTATTGATGAGTCTACAGTTAATTTAAACATGTACGTACACAGACTTCAACAAAATCTCAATAAGCTCTCGGAACGCGTGTGATTTATTTAAAAGTTTTAAAAGTTCTTTAAACTTCGCCACAATTGTCTCCCTCTTGATAATCCTGTTTGTCCACAAATGTTCTCCAGCAAACCTCCAAAGCCTTTAATGACCTACTGCTTTCATTTAGACATGAATTACACACAAGTGGACTCCTTTCACTACTTCTCTCCAAAGTATGAGTCTCATGACAAATAATAGCTACTTTGTGTTGGTCTTTAACATAAAATCTATTTGTATTGGAAAAATGCAAGCTTTTTGATTGTCAAAAAAATAATAAAAAATATTTCTGTGAGGTTTCTGTTTTAGTGCGAATGGCAAGAAACCCCTTCTTTTTCTTGGAAGGACAGTCTGTCCTGCAGAGGGACAAACAGACGGCATGTAGGACAGGGAGCTGCGTTAGCAAAACCAAAGAAATCTAAGCCACGTTCTCAATGAGGTTTCTCCAATTCACTACTAGCAACAACTCAAAACAGTATCTTTAAAACTTTTACTAAACAGAACAACTTCAAAAAGGCAGAAACAGAACCTGTTGATCCAAACTGTACCAAGGAAAGTCAGACGACTATCATTAAACCATTTCTTGTTAATTGCTATGTTATCTTCCTGCTCTCTGGTTGTATTTAGGGCTGGTCTCTTGGCACAAAAAAAAAGGAAAAAAAAGTCACTCTCTTGCAAATCACCGCTGGGGTTTTTCAGGAACATTGATGCAATTTCTAGCAGCTGAGTCCATGCCACCTCTCTCCTCTCCTGGCAATCTTTGCAACTAGTCACCTCTCATTTAAAAGCAGAGCTCCCAGAAAACAGCGAAACAATGAAGGAGGGGGGTTTAATGCTGCATGCGTCTTCCTGCGGCCCTGCAGCAGACATTAAACAACATTTGATTGAAAACGACAGAGCCCTATATGCAGGGAGAAGTTCAGGATAAAAAAAATATCCCCACCCCCCCCCTCAAAAAAATCTCCAGGAACAGAACTGAACCGCTACATTTATTTCAACTGCTTGGAAAAACATATTCAAAGAGGAAATTAACTGTTGGGGGGGAAAAAAAATATTTGTATATTCCCATTACCTGTTTGGTTGCGGGTCCCGGAGTCGCTGCCCACGCTTCCGTTCTCCTGCTGAGCCGACAGGGTTTTCAGGATAACGTGGGTGGCCCCCAGGCGAGGCAGCGTGACATGGGTCAGGTGAGGGAGAGAGTTTTTCTTTGCAAACAACTGGCTGGTTTCTCGCCTCTTCCTGAGGAAGCCGCCCTCAGGGAAGAGCACTATCCACTTCCTGTCGCGGTTGTGGTAGTATTTTTCTAGATGCTCCTTCAAGTAGACCAGCTGCTTGTCTCTGTGAGCTTTACCCTGATGGAAAAACAAAAATTAAAAAAATGTGTAGAGCGTTAACAACGAGAGTTTAATCACACGGCAGCATGTTCCGTTAAAGCTCTACAGCTTTAGCGCTAAAAAAAGTTATTGGAGAAAAAAAAAAAAAAGAGAATGAGGGAGAGGAAACGGAAACTGCTGCATACGCATATTTCAAAATAAAAGCAGAAAGAAGTCGATAAACAAAAGTTGAACACAGATGTTGAAAGTTTATAAAACAGGCAAGTAAATTAACACTTTGGAATTTATTGGGAAAAGTTAATTTAGGGAAAGCCAAGTGTGCTAAACCTTTTCCAAGTTAGCAAAAGTGCTAAACAAAAAAAAAAGAGCTCTGCTGTTGGCAGATTTGCAAAAAATGATCTCACCACTGACTATATCGAATCTCAAGTGTCACTGCAGTGTCTATGTGTGCAATATCACAATCACAAAGCCTTGTTCGGACGCCACTTTCGGTTGTATATTGTATTTCAGGAGCCATGCAAACTAAATCTGCTTGTCAATTATGTATTTGGGTTTTTGGATGGACTTTCTCTGCCCTCGATGGCCAAAGCAGATGTTCACTTTATGAGGCCAATGAAAAGAAGGAAAAGAGCCTTGAAAATGAACCAATGTCATCATAGCGATATCCAACAAGAGTTTTATGTGCAGAAGGCACAGATTTAATCGAGAGAGCTAAAGGTTGGGCGGACAAACAGAGGGATGATTTGGAGGGATGGATGGAGACAGACTGTAATAACCCTGTGAGGGCAGTTTGGGTCAAAATCTTATAATTTAAGTAGATTGTATTCCTGTCAAAGCGGAATCAGCAAAAAGAAACACAAACATTACTTAGCTGTCATGCCACGTCCGAAATGGATGCAAATCATGACGACCATGACAACGATAAGTGCATTAGCAAGGATGGGACGAGGAGCAGCAGCATTGATTTTTAGTTAGCCACGGTCAAACAACAATTTAAACGTATTAGCTCAGCCGTGCAGCTCTGCGTGTTTTAAGTGTGCACATTTGTTTGCCAGTGCAGCTGTAATGTAATACAACACAACTACTGCACTACCAGAGTTAGGGTGTGAAATGACAATTCATTTATCCGAAAGGAAAACCTGTGAACATGCAGCAGACAAGTATGTGGAAGTTTAACACTTCGTTAAAGATACGTTGCAGTTTGCTCTGCAGACAAAACCCGTTTCCTCTTCAGCAAATGCAAAGGTTGTGATGGGACTAATTTATCAGCCGGTCTGCTCTGATTTTAGGCTAGCTGTCTCTGAAGTGTACAAACAGTTCAGCGTTTTTTGGCTGAGCTGCTACATGCTTTAATCAGTTTACTTAATCAACATTTAGCTGAGCTAAAACCAACACAGGACAGTCCCAGAAGATTTTCCACTGAGCACGGTTATAGAGTGGGGAAAAAATAAACTAAAACAAAAGGAGCTGGTTCCATTTGACCTATTTGAAGAAAGGAGTTAAAATGAATTTTAATTTAAAAAAATCTCATTTTTTTAAGTGATACAAACTGTTTACTATAACCCAGTTTATTGGTTTGCTACACTTTTCACTCACTTACATAAATTTGGGTATTCAGAAATTCTGCCAGGTGGCAAAAACAAACAAAAAGGAGCAGCATCCACTACTTTTATTGCTATAACTCAGTTTTGATTTTGCAGTAAGGAACCTGTGTGAAACCAGCAAATATTGTTATACTTGGAGATGCGGCCATTTCTGTTCCGACATAGTGGTTCCCATTTAGATTTTTATACTTTTTTGTTTTTCTCAACACAATGACTGTAGCAAAGTGAGCTGCCGTTTCTTTGATACACATCGCAGCTTTGATTTGAAGTGTGTCCATAAAGGTCTACCTTCAATTTTATTAAACTCAAAGTACAGTCATATGGAAAAGTAGCTGCTTCCTTGTAGATCAACTCTGTTTTTGCGTTTTTGGCCCACTTAATTTTTTTTTTGGATCAGGAAATTTGTATAAATACAAAAAGGAGAAGAAAAAAAAAAAAGCTACCTCCTCAACCAACATGACCCTGAGTAAAAAATTAACTTCAACCTAAATCTAGTAACTAGTTGGGCAAAACATGTATATATTAGAAAACTTTCCAGATGCACTGTACATTCACAAATAACTTGAATGCTGCAAAACTAAGCATTCGAACATTTTCTTGTCAGCGGGATTTATCGATCTTCTTTATATGTAAATAAAAATAAGTGATGGAGCTTCGCTGTGCTCTGGTCATGTGCCGCTGTGCTGTGTGTAACAATGTTTGAGACGTTCGTGCCAGTCATGAGTGGACAGCAGATGCTCTGGGTGACCGGGGCAGCTGCTTGCTGAGTGGATGTGTGAAGCATTCTGGGGAAAGATGTCAGGAATTTACACACGAGAATGCCAAAGGGGGCGATGACAGAAAGGAGGAGGAGGAGGAGGAGAAGGAGAAGGGCAGAAATCTCTGCGATCGCTCAGACTTTCCTCTACAGCCCGTCTGGCTTCACCCTCGGCACAGTGCCTGATGTGAAATCCCACAGCAAAGCGCTGCCATGACCTAAAAAGAAAAAAAATAATTCCCTCCTCTTATGCTGTTCCGCCATGCTCAAACTGTGAGAGATGACGAGTTTTTATTTGGGTGTTTTTTCATTTTTTTTTTTTTTTTAGCAAGGTGAATACATTCTGATTCAGATTTAATGAAATTGAAGCATTTTGTAGATTGAATACTGCGAGGGCGAATGGGGTCTGGAAGCACAGAAAATTTTTAAATAATTGCAAACATGTCCACATGGTGCTGGCACCAATATGGTCTGCTTACACAAAGCAAATCTGTCAACTGTAGTAAATATTTTTACCATGGGGTGAATAACAGGGTCAGATGTCATGTTTTGACCTCTCTAACTAAGGCTTGAACTCTGCTGAAAAGGGTAAAATAAGTTGGTTGATATAACACATGGATGTATTTCATATTAATTGTATTTCTACATTCTCTTAGACGTTGCACTTTGTGAAATAAACCAAACACTTTCTCCCCCTCACCTGCCGGTGGCGCTGTGCCGAGCACCACTGAGGTAACGACAAGAAAACCTCTGAAGAAGACAACTTCCTGCTTTACGAAATGTAAACAGAAATGAAGTGGCATCAAATTTTAGCAGTTGTAGGATTTCTCTCGTCTTTGACAAAAGATCACGAGTGATTTCTAATACGCGTTTGTTTTGGTTATATTTACCCAGAATGCCTTGCGCTATATTCCACTTTTTGCTTTTGGAGTAAAAGAACTGGACTTTCTAGACAAATGAACAAGAGTTTGATTAAAGCGGAGTACTAAACAGGATTGGTGTGAAAGCACCCTTATTCGCCGTTTAGCATCAAGCAAAAATCTGCTACCAAAAAAATTTTCAAATAGATAAAATTTTAAAAAATGTATCTTAAAACACACCAAAGCTCGGTATAGTTGGTTTGCCTTGAAGACAAAGACATTCCATGAATTCCCTGACTAGCAGGAGCCGTGGCGCTTCCATATGTATGTTCAGCTGTCTAGACGGACCCAGATGGACCAAGCGGGGCCCCCCATCACCCTCACACATTACTGTCGACTGCAATTCTCTCTCAGGACACCAGAGCTGCAGGAATACACCCATCTCCTGACCAGCAGTGATAACCGGATGGGTTTCTAATCCACAACTGAGACAGGCAGTAACAACTAGCCTGTAGCAGTCGGGGTTACAAGTGGTGTGTTGTGGCCCAGAAGTTAGTGCTTTTAATCCTTCGACCATCAGAAAAACAAGGTGTTGACAAGTTACGGGGACAAAAATAGGATTTTATTCTCCAGCGACAAGCACTGCTGCTGCCTTTAGGGGGCGAGACACCAACCAGAAAAATAGGCTGGTCAGCTCAAGGACGGAGGAGAGGCAGTGAGTTAATGTCGAAGAATATTTAACACTTTGGCTCTCCTACCTGTCTGATGAAGAAGTCCCCGTGAATCAGGGACACTAGACCAAAATTGGTGTATTTGAACACATGGTCCATCAACCACATCATTTTCCGCACCACCTGAAAAAAAAAAAAAGAGAAAAAAATACAATAAATATCTGTTACAACTACATTTTTTTCTTTCGCTCAGAAGTGGAGCAAACCGACATCGTCCCCTCCACCCTCATGACCTGCACAAATGCAGCTCCGGCTTACTGGCCTTCCCTCGCTAAGAGGATAAACTGGGCCAGCCATGCAGCGGTGGAGATGGATCATGATCATGTCTGTGCAGTGTGACTCGGCACTTCCAGTGCCAAAACAACAACCAAACAACAACAGTACAGAAGTAACCAATGGAAACACAGCATCGTTAAACTTAAATACAGATGATCAACAAGTTACAGTATCAGTTTATTTAGGGCAGCAGCTTACTGATTATTTTAGTAATTGATTATTCTACTAATCAGATTTAAAAAAATAGGCACATTACACAGATTTTTCATTTAACTACTTAACCCTTTATATGCCATATTAGAAATACTTTAAAAAGATGCAAATTTAAAAAAAAAATCAATTTCTTTTTAAATAAGAAAGCAATCATTTTATTGCCTTAAAAAGCTCAAAGTAAAAGGGAAAAATAGAGTAATTAAAATAACGATTAAACTATGATTCAAAGAAGAGTCTTCTTCAGGTTCGGTAGATTTGACTGAATAAACTGCAGAAAGAAACTGCTGAAACACCAGCTTACATCTGACAGATGGCGGCCTCTACGAGAACTGTACTCAACTATTGTACATCATAATAAACTTCCAAAACAGAGGCATACAGCTGTAAGGAACAAATCATCTTCAAGAGCAGGAATATTATGACAGAAATTAGCTCTTTGTATTACCCAGAAAGTCCTCCGTTTACTTTATGTAAGCCTTTAAAAAAACAGTAAAAATCATTCATCCAAGAAACATTTGTACTTGGAAATTTACCCTCATTTCACTTCCAAAAACAACACCCGTTGAGTTTAAAGCTGGTGTGGCTCAGAGTCTGATGCAAAATGAGTCCGAGGCAACAGGAACGACGGCTAAAGGAACTGCTGGGAGCAACATTCCAACATTCCAGCAGCTGCTCTGCTCTTTACGCATGTCGACATCACACCTCTGCAGCTTTGACACGGTTCTGTTCCTCAATGTCTTACCGTGCCCTTGTCTTGCAGGCACATCATGAGAGTGCAAACATCCCCAGTGGACTGATGATTGACAATGACCATGGCTTCTTCTTCAGAGATGTCCCGCACATCATCACCCCACTCTGTGACTGAAAGACAAAAGACAAAAGCACAAGTTTTATTCCAGTATCAATTAATAAGAAGCCTATGTTGCAGTTTGCATGTTTTCTCGCACCAGATTTTTCATCAGGTGTGACATTGTTTATATTTCTGTGCTAAAATGTCAGTCAATAACCTGCTAAAACATTATTCCCATCCTACTACGTAGATTCAAAGCAGGGCAGCGATGGTTGAGTTTGTGAAATTAACCAAAATGCTTGAACTAAAGATTCAAACCAACTTTATATCGTGAGGAACTGCACCTGTTGTTTTTTAAACACACAATTATGGATCGGTACAACCATCTGCTCCTTGTAAAATGATGATCCCACCTCCAAATTACGCAAACAGGCTGCTGTTCAAATTCAAATTGCATCTTATAGAGACGCCCTTGCATCGATTTTAGCAAAGAGGAGTAGGAAAATGCACAAGCAGTGTCACGGCAGGTTTATAAAGTAAAATATTAAATAGTTGCAGCATAACTCAAAAACCAACTTTGGGTTTAAAGAAACCTATATTTTACAGGTGCAAAATGCTCCGCGATCCAGCCATGTTCGATCACAGAGTTTCATGAGACCGGAGGGGCAGTCTCAGTGTTTGAAGGAGGACTTCAAACCGTCAAATTGTTTATCAAAGACTAGACGTTTAGTTCAAACATAGAAAAGTCAAACAATGGGTGTGTTTCCTTTCATCAATATCTCTGAAAGGTGCGTTTTCCTAAGTACATACACAGTAAAAACCACTTGTCAACATGCATAGGGCTTAAAACTCACAACACCTGCCCTCGTTCTGTCATTCTGACAACAATGCTAGCCTGCTACATGTTTGCTGATACAAATCCTCCCTGCACGAATGATAAGCACAGTACATTCCTACAAAACCAAGTTTTATTAATCTGGACCTTATCACCAAAAATGTTCTCAACAGAACAAGCAAGAGCTGGACGAACTCTGGTTTTCTAAAACCATACAGGCTTTTCCAGACATCGTTGAACCCCAAAATGTTATACTAAATTAACTTTTCCAGAAAATTATGTTTTATTTATTGGATTTTTAAAAAAAAAGTTTTTATGACACAAGTGGAAACTGTTTTAAAGCAGTTCATGTAAACCAGTTTTTTTTTTGTTTTTTTTTCGTCTTTGAGTCTTTAGAAAAGCTGCGTTTTAGTTTCTACGAGTGCATTTCAATTAATATTTACAAAAGCGCTATAAGTTTTACTTTTTTCCTACTGGACCTTGCTGTGTTCGCAGGCCTCACCCTGACTATTCTACATAATCTAATTCGACGACAAATGTGTTCAAACTAACTCCTCCAGAAGCATTATGGATGTGCGCGGCGACTTTATGCTCTTTGCTTTTCTGAATCATTAATGAAGATGCATGTTGACTCATGCTGAACGACAACACGTTGGTCTGTGGTTGGAAATGAGGAAGGAGAAGTGAGGTTTCAGGAAATGGTAACATACTCACTTTTTTTTATCTGTGACCACTGAGTGGAACAAGGGATGACTTTTAACATTCTAGTCTGTTGTTGGGAAAGCATACAAATAACTTCTTCAACATTCAGTGATTACGCTTTAAGTCTAAACCTGATCAGCAGCCATGTTTGAATGGGAAATCCCTGAATATCTATTGGAAAAGCTGCATGTTAGCTCAGAATGTTGCAGCAACATGACGTGAGGCTTATTTGCATGTGCATGAATAATGCTTCCCTCCTCTGTGAATCAACACAAGGCATCCATGTACACCAGAGAGCAGAACTGCAGCTTTGTTCACTGTCAAAGAAATAAAAATAGCAGGGAGCAAAAAATATAGCTGCAAACTGAAGCTCTCTAGGCCAAGAACAGCAAGATCGAGTAAGGCACGCAGCACACAGGTACATGGAGGCCTTACCTTCCCACAAAGCAATACTGATCAGGAGCCGACAAAAAGGTTATGCAGAAATGACTCATTTCGCTTTTATTTTGCAAATAACGTCATTCAAGTGCAAGAGACTGTAAGCGTGGATTAGGTGACATAAGAATAAGGACATAAGAAACACTGATCCAGACATGCAGCAACAAAACACACACAAAAAAAAACAACATCATCTACTAAAACAAAGAAATTCCCATAAGTGGACCTGGATGTCCCGCAGCCGCCCACACACTCAGATCCAGCTGGCCACTTTATGATATGTGTGCACATTTTATGATCACCAGTCTCTGTTTTCCTAAAGGTTCAAACAAAATGACAGAGAAACAGCACTGCCTGTTTGTGCAAGCTGCTCCCACACAGATTTATACTGATGGGTTTCCCACCATCGGCTGGGAAGTTCTGAGTAGAAAGAGGGAGAGTTGTTCTCTCTTATGCAACAAAATGTCTATTACTTTCATTTACAGCAGCCGTCCAGCAGACAACAGCAAACAGTAATGGCTTCGTAATGACATTAAGCACAGCGCCACCTGCTTCAGTGGAAAATGCAACTGCGTCACTGACTGATGCTGTTAAGATTATGAAGGTAATCGTTAGTAAATACAAAACAGAAACATGCATTAATGTAATTGAATTTTTGAAGATGCAACACAACCATAAAATTTAACATCGAGCAGTCTCGATCTTATTGAGCAGGCAGACTCTTTCACATCAACAGTAACTAGTAACTTTAGCACCTTGTGGTCTGCTTTCAGGGCTACCTTGGTTGAATGCATCGTGGATATCATGACAGTAATTTTGAACAACTAATATAATTACATTACTAAATCAGAATACCGCTAAGTCTTTATTATTTATTATAAATTTTTTATTCTCTTAAGAATGTAGAGCTAACTAAATGGTCTAAACAAGACCTTAAAGTGGTTCCAGTTTCTCTCGATGGCCAACTTGTTGAAACTGTGGCAAATTTGGGTTGTTCCTAGACAGTCAGCTCAACTTTGCTGAAAACACTGACTATATTTTGAAGACTGTTCTCAGAGACTCTACCTTTTAAGAAGACGTAGTGATCATGGGGTGACCAAACTAGACTCTAGTTGGGGCACTGAATCTTGGGGGAAAAAAATTATATTTTATTTATCACTACAAAAGGGTTCAGTGACTGCACATATGAAACTGGTGGGTTCGGTACCTCAAAAAAGGTTAAGAACCACTGTTTTAAGGTCTTTTTAAATGCACACACTGATTCTGTGTCTGTGTGAAGGCTTCAGACGTAAAACACAGTGTCAACTGCTGTGACAATTGTTCATCCAGTTTTCTATTAGGGTGCATTCACACCAGTCCTGTTAAGTCCGCTTCAATTGAACTCCAATTCATTTGCGTAGAAAGTCCGATTCGTTTGGGCAGGTGTGAATGCGCAATTGGTCAAGAAAGTAAACTCCGACCTTCCTGAAATCCTAGGTCTCGGTTTGGTTAAAGTGAATTCTGGTGCGGTTTCAATGCATATGTGAACACAAAGTGGACTGGAGACCACTCCAGCAGGAAGTGGAGTACAGCGTGTGGCATTCTGGGTAAGTACAACTAAAAATAAACAAGTGACTATCACTAGCGGGACAAATGGCAAGTACCTTTTAAAAAACAACAACAAAAAATCCTACAACTTTTAAAATCCGACCACATTCGTCTTTACATTTTGTGAACAAGGAATTTGTACCCAGTGTCTTCTTCAGAGGGTTTTATGCCATTTCCTTCAGTGTTTCTTGGTGCAGCGCCTCCACAGGCGAAGGGGGAAACAGGTTTTTCAAAGGGTTTGGTTTGTTTGACACAGTGCAGTGTGAAAGCAAAACACCGCGACGGAATTCCTAACAACTGTTGCAAATTTATTCCCCAATTGAATTGAGTGTGAAAACACCCTTAATCTAAAAATGTATCCTACGTTATTAAGTATTTGTATAGTATAGTCTTTTCAGTCACTTCACACATACCCAATGCCCCGTGTCAATCCGCACTACAGTTCTCTTGATCTACGCTGTCAGGTGTCTGCTCAGAGCACACAACCAAGTTCAACACCCTCTCTCTCCTATCAGAGTATTGATGGGCTACATATGGCAGCTGTAACAACTGAAACACAGCTCATAAGAGCTGAGCTGATGACCACACCAAAGCCACCGGGGAACTTCAGAAGCTGCTATTGCAAATTAAACACTTGGACAGCTTTGCATATTAAGAGGGAGGTGAGAAGATTCAGTCAGGCTCCAGCTGGTACAGGTGATATCCGAAGAATTAGGGCAGGTCTGACCAGTTCTAGCGCTGTGTAATGCAAATGTTATAAATGTGAGACCTTAATTTGCAGAGGAGGACTGAAGCTCCTGTCTGGGAGGCCCGTAGGGAGATAAAGATTCAGAAGAAACTTTAAGCCCACCTCGTATTTGTTTTTTTGTTTTTATACAGAATTAGAAATGCTTTATCGGATATGAATAAAAAATTCAACTTCCTTTTCAAATAAAATTAATATTTTATTCATTAAAATGCAGTAACATTGCATTCCTTTAGCCAGTTCTGCTTGGATTGTTGATTTGTTGAACTAACTGATAATTGGACAGCAAAAGGTTTGTCTTTTCACCTAATTTGTACTGGGTTATGCTAAAGTGATGCCACTTGAGGAGTTTGGGTAGAAAATATTTCTAGGCAAAGATTTGTTTTTACCTTAAATGAAAAAATATGTAGATTTTGGCTGAATTGCTGCTTTGACTGTGTTGTTCTTTAGCAAATCATCTTTATAGACTCTGTATACTTCAGTTAATAATTTATGAAATTAGTTGAAAATTTTTTGAATAATTGATTCGTCCCAATTAATCATGCCCACCCCACTTTGTTGTATTTTTTCCCCATCAAGTGGACTTTTTATGTCTTCAGAAAAGCAGTTTCTCTTCATTTGGAGACACGATTGACATTTAGCCTTTGTTTCACCTCCCGTATCCAAGTAAAACATACAAACACTCACGAGAACAGATAGAGAGCACAGATAAACACAAACGAAGTCCATGAAGTGTGCGTTCCCTTAAGAAAATGTAACTTCAC